ACACTGACACTTGTTACTTCAGCTACAAGGCTACAGTGACACTTGTTACTTCAGCTACAAGGCTACAGTGACACTTGTTACTTCAGCTACAAGACTACAGTGACACTTGTTACTTCAGCTACAAGACTACAGTGACACTAGTCGCTTTAAGACTGCGTGTCTCCGGCTCTCAGGAAAGTGCTGAAGGAAGCTAAAACACTACGGACAGCACTGTAATGTATACACTCACTGAACATTTTTGCCAATAAAGTGTTTAATAAACCATACACAACAATCAATACTGTCAAGATAAAACTGCAATTAAAAGGAAAGATTTAAAGGTAAATTTGATAGTTAAACTTTTCACGCTTAATTACTTGTCTAAAAAAAATTAATTAATACAGACTGATTGAGATTATTCAAGTTTTTTTTTTAATATATAATGCGACACAAAATTGTTGCAGTCATGTGTGTAATTAATGTTTTGCATTTTAGTGGTATGAGGTTTAGTTGTTTGATTTTTGTGAGATGAAGTGTGGAGGAGTTTAAATCATGACGTGAATGTTGATCCTCCCGGCCAGTGACAGTGTCTTCCAGAGTGTGACAACTGTGAGCTCGTGTGTCGGTGATTTAAAGCGGTGTAAACATTCTTCTCGCCGTAGTGGTGTTTTATTCCTAGTGATCGATTAATGATTGCGGGTGGAAAGCTGCGGTCACGGTCCTCCCGCTGAGAGAGGACCGCCACTAAGAAGGATTGACACTGGGAAGGTCTGGCAGGTACGTGACTAGATCTAGTTCGTGTAAAGTGCCGCGGTCACCGCTCTTCCTGCTGAGGACTGGCACTGAGAGGGACTGGCAGGAGCCTAATTTGATCTAGTCTAGTGTGGTAAGGAGGTAAAGTTTAGACAAGTTTAGAGCGACATTTTAACTGGCTTTAAAGAGGCCTTGGCTTCACTTCCTTTGTGCTGCTTGCTTCAAGCAACCGAAAATTTTGCAGTATTTTAGAGAATAATTTTGAGTTTGTTGAGGAAGTGACTATTGTTGGTGACATGCAGACGTCGTAAAGGCTCTCATGCAAGGTGGGGGCAAGACTCTAGACTCCAGAGTTCACGGGTCCCCTGTGAGTCTCAAGTTAATGATGGTGCTCAAGGTAACCCTGGGAGAGCCCTGAACACAGTGTGAACGTCTACGAGATTAACAATGAGGAAATTGTGTTGAGTGGTGACCATCAGGTCCCAACTCCCCTCTATGGTAACTGAGGAGAGTGGTCCCTGATCCAGCTTACAAACCACCCACCCTTCACACCCACCCTTCACACCCACACTTCACGCCCACTTGTCCCCGACGACTCCCGTCTGAAGACCAAGGAAACCTGGACCTGAGAGACGTTTAAAGGCGGACTTGGACCTGTGAAGTTGAGAGCCCTGATGACCTCCGCCCAGGATGAGTCTCACTCCACTTGAGGAAGATGCTTCTGAAGAAGTAAGTGCCACTTGTCTGTTCTCTCCTCCACACCCACTTGCATGAAGAGGAATGCTTCCCATCCTATACATGGTCTGGGGGATCATGGCACCCGCAACCCTCTCCCAGACCAGTCCTTCACCCCACACCATTACTTGTTAATTGAGTTAATTATTCCTTCTCGTCATTACCCTGTGTTAAGTTTCAATATACATTTCTCCTTATTATAAATGTTGAATAATTACTTCTCAGATATAATGAATATTAGACAACTGCTTTATCATCATTATTAATTTTAATTAGACCTCTCTTTGTATAATGACATGTGTTTGTGTGTTTGAATAATTACACTAGTCCATGGTGGGAGAATATTTAGTGATTGTTAACACTCTCTCAGTGTTATTATCGTAAGTATCATCTCACAGCATCATCTCGCATCTAACAGTCTGAAGCAACAACAATGAAAACAAAAGCAGCAATATTAACACCACCATCACCACTAACAACAACAATAACAATTCTCGAAACGTACAGTGCACTCGTTTACCTTATACGGCACAACCAGTCGTAGCCAAATATACAGCAACAGCAACATTGCACTGGTTACTCTTGCTACTTGTGACCTGGATATTTGCTGATATTGTCATTCTATCTCCTTAACGATACTAATCGGCACTTAGCTGACGTCTGATTTTCTACATCTGCAGTCTAATTGGAAGTTGACCGACAACCAGCACTTGCGAGAGGAACCTCACGCCGATCTTCGGTCCGACTTGGATCTCATTGGCGCAAGTTTTTGGCGAAGTATTCCTGCCACGGAATTGTCGTTGATTATCTAACCTGTCGTGAGGTAAATCGTCTTATATTATACTAAATATAAGCGTAGACTAGGGTTAAGTAATTGGAAATGAGTTCCAAATGAAAAAAAAAAAACTAAATCGACCCCGTGCACTGCCAGACAGGACGGCGGCTGCTGAGCCTGGTTGCGGCAGACAGGCAGACCATCTGGTCATTCCGGTGCTGGGACCGGCGGGCCGGGTTCATTAACAACTGCTCGAGCCGTCACAACCCTTCAACCCAACACTAAATTGACCCTCTTTTTGTTTCCCTTTTTTCACCCTCCCCGCACTCTCCACACCGAACATTACGGCACCGCAGCACCGCACAGCAGCTGCACCGAGCAGTTGCACTGCACAGCAGTACCGCACACCAGTACAGCACCTTACGGGCACAGCAGTACCATTTCAAACAGCAGTTGTGCAGGAATAAATTCATATCCAATTTCACGGGTGACAGGAACAGTGCGGAGGTTACAGATTGTGAACTAGGTGAGTGACTGCCACGCCTGCCTCTCTTAACGGACAGAGTCGAACACTGCCTCTCTTAACGGACAGAGTCGAACACTGCCTCTATAAACGGACAGAGAGCCGTACACTGCCTCTCTTAACGGACAGAGAGCCGTACACTGCCTCTCTTAACGGACAGAGTCGAACACTGCCTTTCTAAACGAACACTGCCTCTCTTAACGGACAGAGAGCCGTACACTGCCTCTCTTAACGGACAGAGTCGAACAGTGTCTCTCTTAACGGACAGAGAGTCGAACACTGCCTCTCTTACCGGACAGAGTCGAACACTGCCTCTCTTAACGGACAGAGTCGAACACTGCCTCTCTTAACGGACAGAGAGTCGAGCACTGCCTCTCTTAATGGACAGAGTCGAACACTGCCTCTCTTAACGGACAGAGAGTCGAACACTGCCTCTCTTAACAGACAGAGAGTCGAGCACTGCCTCTCTTAACAGACAGAGAGTCGAGCAATGCCTCTCTTAACAGACAGAGAGTCGAGCACTGCCTCTCTTAACAAAGAGTCGAGCATTGCCTCTCTTAACGAACAGAGAGTCGAATACTGCCTCTCTTAACGAACAGAGAGTCGAGCACTGCCTCTCTTAACCGACACAGAGTCGAACACTGCCTCTCTTAACAGACAGAGAGTCAAACACTGCCTCTCTTAACAGACAGAGAGTCGAATACTGCCTCTCTTAACGAACAGAGAGTCGAATACTGCCTCTCTTAACGAACAGAGAGTCGAATACTGCCTCTCTTAACGAACAGAGAGTCGAACACTGCCTCTCTTAACAGACAGAGAGTCGAATACTGCCTCTCTTAACGAACAGAGAGTCGAACACTGCCTCTCTTAACAGACAGAGAGTCGAGCACTGCCTCTCTTAACAGACAGAGAGTCGAATACTGCCTCTCTTAACGAACAGAGAGTCGAATACTGCCTCTCTTAACGAACAGAGAGTCGAACACTGCCTCTATTAACAGACAGAGAGTCGAGCACTGCCTCTCTTAACAGACAGAGAGTCGAATACTGCCTCTCTTAACGAACAGAGAGTCGAATACTGCCTCTCTTAACGGACAGAGAGTCGAACACTGCCTATCTTAACAGACAGAGAGTCGAGTACTGCCTCTCTTAACAGACAGAGAGTCGAATACTGCCTCTCTTAACGAACAGAGAGTCGAGCACTGTCTCTCTTAACAAACACAGAGTCGAGCAATGCCTCTCTTAACAGACAGAGAGTCGAGCACTGCCTCTCTTAACAAAGAGTCGAGCACTGCCTCTCTTAACGAACAGAGAGTCGAATACTGCCTCTCTTAACGAACAGAGAGTCGAGCACTGCCTCTCTTAACCGACAGAGAGTCGAACACTGCCTCTCTTAACGGACAGAGAGTCAAACACTGCCTCTCTTAACAGACAGAGAGTCGAATACTGCCTCTCTTAACGAACAGAGAGTCGAATACTGCCTCTCTTAACGAACAGAGAGTCGAACACTGCCTCTCTTAACAGACAGAGAGTCGAGCACTGCCTCTCTTAACAGACAGAGAGTCGAATACTGCCTCTCTTAACGAACAGAGAGTCGAATACTGCCTCTCTTAACAGACAGAGAGTCGAGCACTGCCTCTCTTAACAGACAGAGAGTCAAGTACTGCCTCTCTTAACGAACAGAGAGTCGAGCACTGCCTCTCTTAACAGACAGATAGTCGAGCACTGCCTCTCTTAACGAACAGAGAGTCGAATACTGCCTCTCTTAACGAACAGAGAGTCGAACACTGCCTCTCTTAACAGACAGAGAGTCGAGCACTGCCTCTCTTAACAGACAGAGAGTCAAGTACTGCCTCTCTTAACGAACAGAGAGTCGAGCACTGCCTCTCTTAACAGACAGATAGTCGAGCACTGCCTCTCTTAACGAACAGAGAGTCGAGCACTGCCTCTCTTAACAGACAGATAGTCGAGCACTGCCTCTCTTAACAGACAGAGAGTCGAGCACTGCCTCTCTTAAGTCGAACACTGCCTCTCTTAACGGACAGAGAGTCGAACACTGCCTCTCTTAACAGACAGAGAGTCGAGTACTGCCTCTCTTAACAGACAGAGAGTCGAATACTGCCTCTCTTAACGAACAGAGAGTCGAGCACTGTCTCTCTTAACAAACACAGAGTCGAGCAATGCCTCTCTTAACAGACAGAGAGTCGAGCACTGCCTCTCTTAACAAAGAGTCGAGCACTGCCTCTCTTAACGAACAGAGAGTCGAATACTGCCTCTCTTAACGAACAGAGAGTCGAGCACTGCCTCTCTTAACCGACAGAGAGTCGAACACTGCCTCTTTTAACGGACAGAGAGTCAAACACTGCCTCTCTTAACAGACAGAGAGTCGAATACTGCCTCTCTTAACGAACAGAGAGTCGAAAACTGCCTCTCTTAACGAACAGAGAGTCGAACACTGCCTCTCTTAACAGACAGAGAGTCGAGCACTGCCTCTCTTAACAGACAGATAGTCGAGCACTGCCTCTCTTAACAGACAGAGAGTCGAATACTGCCTCTCTTAACGAACAGAGAGTCGAACACTGCCTCTCTTAACAGACAGAGAGTCGAGCACTGCCTCTCTTAACAGACAGAGAGTCGAGTACTGCCTCTCTTAACGAACAGAGAGTCGAGCACTGCCTCTCTTAACAGACAGATAGTCGAGCACTGCCTCTCTTAACGAACAGAGAGTCGAGCACTGCCTCTCTTAACAGACAGATAGTCGAATACTGCCTCTCTTAACGAACAGAGAGTCGAACACTGCCTCTCTTAACGAACAGAGAGTCGAATACTGCCTCTCTTAACGAACAGAGAGTCGAGCACTGCCTCTCTTAACAGACAGATAGTCGAGCACTGCCTCTCTTAACAGACAGAGAGTCGAGCACTGCCTCTCTTAACAGACAGAGAGTCGAGTACTGCCTCTCTTAACAGACAGATAGTCGAGCACTGCCTCTCTTAACAGACAGAGAGTCGAGCACTGCCTCTCTTAACAGACAGAGAGTCGAGCACTGCCTCTCTTAACAGACAGAGAGTCGAGCACTGCCTCTCTTAACAGACAGAGAGTCGAGCACTGCCTCTCTTAACAGACAGAGAGTCGAGTACTGCCTCTCTTAACAGACAGATAGTCGAGCACTGCCTCTCTTAACAGACAGAGAGTCGAGCACTGCCTCTCTTAACAGACAGAGAGTCGAGCACTGCCTCTCTTAACAGACAGAGAGTCGAACACTGCCTCTCTTAACGGATGGAGAGTCGAGTACTACCTCCCTTATGGGACGGAGGGTCGAAAATTGCTTCTCTTAAGGGACGGGGAGTCGAGTACTTCCTCTCTTAAGGGATGGAGGATCGAGCACTGCCTCTCTTAAGTGACAGAGGATCGAGTAATACCTCTCTTAAGGTACTGAGGGTCGAGTACTGCCTCTCTTAACAGACGGAGAGTCGAGTACTGCCTGTCTTAAGGGAGGGAGGATCGAGAACTGCCTCTCTTAACGGACGGAGGGTGGAACACTGCCTGTCTTATCGGACGGAGGATCGAGCATTGCCTCTCTTAAGTGACGGAGGATCGAGTACTACCTCTCTTAAGGTACGGAGGGTCGAGTACTGCCTCTCTTAACAGACGGAGAGTCGAGTACTGCCTCTCTTAAGGGACGGAGCGTCGAGCACTGTCTCTCTTCTACCCATACATGATTGCTTCTTGCTCTTCCGGTCGCTTCCTTGTTTTCCTGAGTTCTATGCTTCCTATAATTATTTTCCATGCTTCGCTCTGTTCTCCTCATTACCTCTTCTGCTCCTGGGTACGAATTTCTCCTCTGCCTCCCGGCATTCTCCATCTACGTACTCCATCATCTAATTCACTGTCCGAACTCTAAACTCCCTCTCCCGCCGCATCTCATTCAGGGCTTGCTTCATGGTTCTCACTTCCCTCCTGTGTCAGCTGTCTCTCCATGTGGAATATTCTTCAACTTGTAGTTTTTCTAAGTCCTTAAAACACTTTCTCATGATATTTGAATCTCAGGACTATGTGGTCATACATACCACTAAAAGTTCCCATGTCAGAGTCACTCAGGGTGAATACAAGGTCCAGCCTTGCTGGTTCCTTTCCTTCAACAGCCCACCAATTACACCCATCAACAACCAACCACAAGCCCACCAACCGCCCACCAACACACCCACAAACAACCCACCGATAACACACCAATTTATACAGAATGTAGCTCAATGAATACGGGAATTAATTCTGATTCCAAGAGGAGGAGGAGTTGGAAGAGGGCGGCAAGAGGAGGAGGAAGAGGGCGGCAAGAGAAGGAGGAGGAGGAGGAGGAAGAGGGCGGCAAGAGAAGGAGGAGGAGGAGGAGGAAGAGGGCGGCAAGAGGAGGAGGAGGAGGAGGAAGAGGGCGGCAAGAGAAGGAGGAGGAGGAGGAAGAGGGCGGCAAGAGGAGGAGGAGGAGGAGGAAGAGGGCGGCAAGAGAAGGAGGAGGAGGAGGAAGAGAGCGGCAAGAGGAGGAGGAGGAGGAGGAAGAGGGCGGCAAGATGAGGAGGAGGAGGAGGAAGGGGACTAGGAAGAGTAGGGCAATATGAGGAAGAGGAGGAGGGCAGCAGGAGGAATGGAAAATGAGTAGTAGTTTGCCAATTGACCCGGGTTGAAGGAGGTAGAGATAGTGGTAAGGGAGGTTGTGGAGTTAGGGGGAGGGAGGTAATGGAGGGA